TCTCTCTCTCTCTCTCTCTCTCTCTCTCATGTGCCAGGTACTAACCTGTGAAGATGGCGCTGTGCTGCAGATACCTCGAAGACGAAGCTGGAGCTATGGCGCTGCAGGTAAGTCTCCCTGGCCTCTGCCCAATCTCTCTCTCTCTCCAGTACTACTCTATCTCCTACTAGCGCCCAGCGCTGAAGACTACTGCTAACGCTACTACTACTACTGCAGTCCTCCTCCAGAGTGCTGCTGCCGAATCCTGAGGACTACCTCCTGCCTCCTGAACTGCACGTGAAGTGCCTGGGAAGTCCCTATGGACTACTTGCAGCCTGCAGGGCGGGCCAGTCTTATGTAGTGCTGGCCCGTCCAGGAGGCCGCTCTTGCCAATGCCAAAACGTGCCAGACCCTGGTGTTGAAGCTCAAACAAAGGTTGTCTTGAAAACAGGCCCAAAATGGCCTGTGCTAAAACCCTGGTCTGGTGCCTGAGTTTCAGGGCAGGTCAATCTTATGAGGGCCTGAAAATGGCCCTCCTGAAAAGACTCAGGGCCTGGAGGGCCCTGTTTTCGGCTGAAACGACACAGGGCCTGTAGGCCGTGGTTTTCAGGCTTTCAGGCTGAAATGACACAGGGCCTGTAGGCTCTTCTTTTCAGGCTTTCAGTCTGAAACGACCCAGGGCCTGAAAATGGCCCTCGTTTGCAGGCGCAGCATGTTGCAGGTGCAGCATGAAACACCCCCCCCTCCTTATGAAGTCAAGCCGGGTCAAGGGCGAAGCTGACGGTCTGAAGGTGGAACCTGGACGCAGGTGCGACGTGGAGCCGAAGATACCGGCTTGCCTTGCATCTTGCGTTCGTAGCGTGCGAGAACATCTGGAGCTGTTGCTTGGACCTCCGGACGGGTCAACCAACGGTCAGCTTTGTGGGTGCAGTATGCAAAGTGTACCAAGTATTCGATCGCCCTGTTGCCGTAACATCGCTGGGAGATGATGTCGCCGACCTCTTGAAAACCGTCCATAGAGGGTGGGTCTTGCGATCGTCGCCCGGGAAAATCGTCATCTTCCGCTGGCATGTAAAGACCCAACTTGGAGCAATGAAAGACCGGGTAGACGAGCAAGTGGGCGGGCACCTGAATGGTGAAGGAAGGTCCTTCGGGGGCATCCCCAGCGGGTGCCACGATCGACCATGGCCCCATCCATTTCGAGAGGAGCTGGGGAGAGATATCTTGTTCGAGGCCGAACTCCACGGCGGAAACCAAAATGAGATCGCCTGCGTGGAATGGAGAAGGAAGACACTGACAATTGGCTTGTTGGATCATGCGTTGCTGCGTCTTAGCCATCTGGTCGCATACCTTGACAAGTAACTCTTGCATCCGACGCAAGAAAAGAAGATGGTCGCCGCTCTCAGCTGCTCGTGAATGATTGTGTCCAACGGAGAAGTGACCGGCGAGCTGTGCTCGAGCTTAAAGGGCGACATCCCCATAGCCAGTTGGGTGGACGAGTTGTATGCCAACTCGACATCTGGCAGCCACTCAACCCAATCCTTTTGGTCGGGACGGATGAGAGTTCGAAGGAGAACCTGTGCGGTATGATTCGCCCTCTCTATTTGGCCATCGGTTTGGAGGTGGCGAGCCGAACCTGACTTGAGAGATGAGCCCCATCGTTTGATGAGCGCCAACCAAAAATCGGATATGAACCGAGTGTCGCGGTCACAGACGATTTCCTTGGGGTAACCCTTGGTTTGAATCCAACCGGCGTAAAGAACCTCGGCCAACTCCAGTGCCTTGGCATGATAGCGCCAAGGTAAAGACATGGCAAACTTGGTGAGTCGGTCGACCACCGTGAGAATCCCATCCACACCAATCTTGTGCTTGGGGAACGACCCGGTAATGTCCATCGCAATTGCTTCCCTTCGACGCAAGGGGACCGGTAATGGTCGCAACTCGCCGTATGGACAATGGTTGCGGGATTTGTAGCGTCGGCAAACCTCGCATGACTCGCAATAGCGTGTGACCCCGTCGAGAAGGCCGGGCCAGCAAAAGCGCTCGCGAATTCGGCCAATCGTGCGATTGACTCCAAAGTGTCCAGTGGCGGGAGCATTGTGGAACTCGCCAAGAAGCCGTATACGTAAGTGAGAGTCACTTGGTACGCAAAGAAGCTTCTTCCCCCGCGTATGGACAAGCAAGTATCCCTCTTGGACCCGGTAGTGAGAAGGCGCCGGATTAGGAGAGGAGCAATTCGCAAACTTATTGCAAAACTCGGGGTCGGCTTCGTAGCCGCGGATGAAGCTATCCCACAGGTCGAATAGACTGTGGTACAATGATCCGGACGCCGAAAAAAAGCATCCGCAAAATGGTTAGACTTCCCCGGAATGTGATCGGGAAAGAAGTCGAATTGGTTGATGAAAGCCATCCAACGGACGATGGTGCTATTGACGGTGTTTTGGGTCTTGTAAAAGACCGACGGATTGTTGTCCATTATCCATCGAAATTGACTTCGACCAAGGAGGAAGTGCGGCCACCGCTTGAGCGCGTGGACGAAGGCTATGAACTCCTTCTTGCGTGCATCATCAATGGAGTGCACGACGGGCACTTTCTTGGTGAAACACTCGACCGGGTGCCAGCCCATGTCATCGTGTTGTTCAAGGACAGCACCAATGCCATAGTCGGGCGCATCCGTAGTGGCAGGCATTGGCAATAGCTCGTTGTATATACGCAAGACCTCCGCTGATAATAGCGCGTTTTTGGGAGCCAAAAATGATTCCTGTGCATCCTGTCCAAAGTCTAACGGTCGATCCTCCCATTGAAGTTTGGTCAAGTTGGTGGGTTAACTCCGACAAATACAGTTTTTTGTCATTTCAGTGACAACGGTCTTGAATCCACGGTGCACGTTTTTCTGTGACATCACTTTCTGTTAGCTTTCAAGATGAGCTTAATATTCTTTCACCTTTTCTTTTTTCAGATCGTCTGGTAGATCGTCTGGTAGATCGTCTGGTAGCCAGTATGTTGAGCTTCACTTGCAATCCTTTATGCAATCTCTCTCTCTCTCTCTCTCTCTCTCTCTCTCTCTCTCTCTCTCTCTCTCTCTCTCTCTCTCTCTCTCTCTCT